AAGCGAACCCTGGGAGTCGATCGCTCCCCTAAACCCGAAGCGCAAAAACAACGCTAAAGCCTCAATCCCAAACCTGAACCCATGATTCAGGTTTAGGGTTTAGTGTTTAGGATTTAGGGTTTAAGGTTTAAGGTGGTCTCTGCGGATTGCCTTCCTGGACAGAAAGAAGTCCGGCCGAATAAAGTACACATATAGGCTCGGGTTGGGGCACCAAAGTAAATACAAATTGGGCACATGGAATTTTCGGGAATCCGCAATTGGCAAGGTACGCCTTCCAGCAAAGCACATCTCACCGATGCTCGGCCGAACCTGGAACTGATCGTTGCCCCCTTTGAAACCCAGACCTAGCATGGCTTTCGTATGTCACTGAAATATGTATCAGGTGCCAAAGTCTCGTCAAGATAAGTCTACACCTCGTGGTTTTAGGGTTTAGGGTAACAGTCTTGAGGGTGTAGGTGTGGGCATCATAAAGCTTCAGCGGTCACGGTTTAGGTTTATAGGGTTTAGGGTTGAGGGTTTAGGGGTTTAGTGTCGGGTTTCCCGACCTACAGCACAGACAAATCCAGAAGTCGTTGTTTGCCTTTGGCTAGGCCTTTGCGGGGTTGCCGACATTCCCTAAGAGGGTCGTGCAGGATCCTACCCACCTATCCATCTGTTTTTTGTATCTGTCTGTTTATCTATCTGCCGATCTATCTATCGATCTAGCTATCTTGGACTTATCTACCTAATGTTCTACCTAGCGATCTGTCGATCGATCTATCTATCGATCTACCTGTCTACCACTATATCTCTCTGTATGCTTTTGTATCTATCGATCTTCTATCGATCTATCTCTCTATCTACATGTCTCTGATTCTCTCTTATTGTCGATCTATCTAGCCATTTATCACTACCTAACAGACAGACAGATAGATAGATAGATTTTTAGACAGACAGATAGATTTTACGATAGATAGATAGACAGATAGATAGATAGATAGATAGACAGGGAGGTAGATAGGTAGGTAGATAGAGAGATAATGATAGACAGATCGGTAGATAGCTAAACAGATAGATAGATAGATAGATGGATAGATAGATACACAGATAAATAGATACACAGATAGATAGGTAGGTCAATATACAGATCCATTATGACAGATAGATCGACAGATAGCTAGATAGATGGGAAGATCGACAGGTAGGTATGTGTACCGGCATACATACATACGTACATACATACATACATACCTACATAACTGCACACAGACATACACACATACATACACACATACATACACACATACATGCGTACATACATACATACATACATACATACATACATACATACATTTACATACATACATACGTACGTACAGACAGACAGACAGACAGACAGACAGACAGACAGACAGACTGGCAGACAGACGTATACACACACACGCATACATACTATCGTACGTATGTACTTACATGCATCCATCCATCCCTACATACATACATACATACATACATACATACATACATACATACATACATACACACACATACATACATACATACATACATACATACATATATACATGAAGACCGCCTTCTTCACGTCCCTCCATCCGTCCATCCATCCAGCCAGCCAGCCAGCCAAACGTACATGCCGAAATACCCACATACCTACCTACCTGCCTGCCTACATACCTACCTACCTACCTACCTACCTACCTACCTACCTACCTACCTACCTACGTACCTACCCACCTACCTTTCTTCCTACCTACCCGCCTGGATGCATGCACACAGACTGTACCGTTATGTATCTATGCATGAATCAATGAATGTATGTGTGTCTGCATGGCTCCATGTATGCATTTATGCAGGCATGTATGCATGTCTGTGTGTGTGTTTGTGTTTATTTGTTTGTCTCTCTCTCTCTCTCTCTGTGCGTGTTTGTGTTTGCCATGTGAGCTGCAGGGGATCACTCCAAACCGTCTGCAGCCATTTTGCAGTTGTTTTGCTCGCAGGCCTAGCTTAGTTCTCCGCCCCATGACAGAAGCCACATAGGGCCTCTGGCTTGGGTTTATGTGCTTAGGGTTCAAAACCCTAAAACCCTAAACCCTAAACCGTAAACCCTAAACCCTAAACTTTTATGTGCTTAGGAGTCAGGGGTTTAGTGTCTAGGGCCACAGCTCCAGACTACAAGCTTCTAGCTCCAATCCCATGCTCCAAATCAAGAGCCTGGAAAACCCTAAGCCTTAAACCCCTAAACCCTGTTTAAACCCTGAACCCTAAAACCTCAAAGCCCTAAGCCCTAAATCCCTAAACCTGAAGTTGCAGCATTCAAAACCCCGAAGATTGAATCATGAAATTTCAGAGCTATTAGGGGCTAACTGCTGTTGAAAAAACCGGCGACACACTGAAGCTATGGGTTCTCATGCTGGGTTTAGGGTTTAGGAGCTTTGGGTTTTGGGTTTAGGGTTTAGGGTGTAGGGCTTTGAGCGCTAAAGCCCTAAAAGCCCTCAGACCTTAAAGCCCCCCAAACCTAAAACACGGAAATACTAAAGACCCGGAGCCCAAAAAACCCAAAAAAAACAAAAAAACCCTAAAATCCTAAAACCCCTATATAAAGCCCTAAACACCTAAACCCTGTAAACCCTGAAATCCTAAAGCCTTATAAGCCCCAAAACCCCCGGATGCTGCACATCCGCTGGGCCTCCGGCGCTGAGCTGGCAGCCATCCCCAGGTCTGACTTCCCGGCGAGGCGGGCAGAAGGGTTTATAGGGGTTTTAGGGCTTTAGGGCTTTAAGGGTTTAGGGTTTTGGGGGTTTAGGGTTTATAGGGGTTTTAGGGTGTAGGTTTTAGGGTTTAGGGTTTTAGGGTTTATAGGGGTTTATAGGGGTTTAGGGTCTATAGGGGTTTAGGGGTTTAGGGGTTTAGGGTTTTAGGGTTTTTAGGGTTTTTAGGGTTTAGGGTTTTAGGGGTTTAGGGTGTACCTAGACCCCAAAGAACCTACCTCTTCAAGGACGTATAGAAAGAAATCATAATAAGGGAGCCCTAAAAAGGGAGGTTCTTAAGGGTCCACATAGGGTTTAGGCTTCGTGGTTTAGGGTTTCGAGGGTTCAGGTTCGGGATTTTACGGTTTGGGGTTTGGGGTAGTTGCGGGTTTGGGGTTTGGGGTTTAGGGTTTTAGGGTTTGAAGTGTAGGGTTTGGGGCTTGCGTGGGTGTAGGTTTTTTTTTGGGTCATGGTGTTGAGGGATTTGAAGGTTCAGGTTTTAGGGTTTAGGGATTTAGGGTTTGAAGTCTATAGGGCTTGGGGCTTGCATGAGTTTAGGCTTAGGCTTTGGGGTTTGGAGCTTACATGGGTTTAGGGTTTGGGTTTTGGGGGGGTGTGGATGGGTTCAGGTTTAATTTGAGGCAAGTTTGAGGTTTGGGGCTTTGGAGTTTCGGCTTTTTGCTTCTGAAATTTGGGGTTTGGGGTTTAGGGTTTAGCTTAGGCTGGAGGGTTTAGGATTTATGGTTGGGGTTTAGGTTGCAGGCTGCGGGTTCTCTTCCGAAGAGACGCGAACATCCCGTCACTCGCTTTTGGGGAGAGGTTTCCGAAAAGTGTTGCGAAAGATTTCGGGAGGGGCGTTTGTGGCTGCTACCCAGATCTTCTCAATTCTCTTAGCAAGCATATTGGGCTTAAGCCTAAACCTTTAAGCCCAAAGCTTTAAAGCCCTAAACCCTGAACCCTTAACCCTAAGACCCTGAACCCTTAGGGACACTACAGTAACTTATACGGTATATTCCGTAGACAAGGGATGTTGGAAGATCTGCAAGCCTTCCTATTCGGGGTTTTGGAGGGTTTTACGGTTCGAAACAGCAAGGGACCGACACTTCAGATCCTTGATAGTAGGATGGGTTTTGGGTTTAGGGTTCTGCAAATCAGTCGAATCTAGTTTTAAGAACATCCTCTTCAGTGATTGTTCGGGGAAGTTCTAGTATGGTTTGGGATCTACATGACGGTACCAGAGATTCCCAGCATCCCTTATTGTCTCTAAACCTCAAGTTGTATTGCACCTTGAGCCCTAAGCCAAAGACCCTGAACCTTGCATGTAGTGTGAGAGTTTGTGGGTCGGGATGGTGACTTCGTCCCGCTCCTTTGGTGCTTAAACTCGCGCCCCTCACCTGAGAGTTCTCCCAACCCTAAACCCTAAGCCCTGAACCCGGTATGATCAGGACTGACGACACTGCGCAGACCACGGTCGCAGCCCTGAAGAAGAGGCTGCCTCTCTGCGGCAGAGAGCTATCAGTTCTCGGGTCGAAGCTAGGGTTTACCTGAGAATCCCAAAACCCTGCCATTTTTAGGGGTTCTACCCTCTAATCTACCCTAGACCGTAAACCCTAAACCCTTAGCTTTAATCTACCTACCCTCTGACTAAGGGGTCATAACCTACTATTTTTGTAGGGTTTGGGGTCACAGGTACGGTTTATTAAGGGAATGTCAGGGTTTAGGCTGGCGGTCTGCTTCCCAGTTCTTCGAATATATGCCTTAATTAATCGCCTTAAGTCATATTAGGGATTCCTACTATCGTTTATAATTAAGGTATATTCCTAGGGATCTTGGAAAATTTGGGTTTACAGTTCAGGCTGTGAAGCTAACTGTTACCCTAAGGCTCCAAGGACTCATCTTTTCAGGCTTTTGGGCCCAAAGACCATACTACTACTGATGATATAGATCCTGCATTACCTTACGGACCCTAAACTATGGGAATTGTGGTATAGTCCTTATTATGGGTAATGCAGGATTTCTACCATCAACCGTATGTAAGGGTTTTGCGCTATTTCGAGCCTTAGGGTTCGGTTAGGTATAGTGGTTCGCAGGGCCATCTTCTCTCTTGATTGCTATTCCTGAGACTTGACCCTACAGACCTTATCAGCCCTAAAGCCTTAATCCCGAAACCGAGACACCCTAAACCGTCAACCCGAAACCCTAAGCGCTAAGTAGTGAGAACCCTATAGACCGTAAATCTGTTCGGCAGCTCAGGCAATGCCTGTGTGGATACTCACGCTTCCGACAGCGGCTGCTATGCGACGATGGGTTTCTGCCTGAAGATGCACCGCTGGACACGCTGTCCCTGAGCTGTGTTCATTTCGAGAGTTTATAATTATGCCTTATAGTAGGGTTTAGAATGGGGTTTGGGTGTAGGGCTTGGGGTTCGTTTAGTAATTTAGGGGCTTGCATGGTTTTGTTCGTTCAGAATTGTGGGTATGTGGTCGGCTGTGTAGAGATCATGCTTGCATTTCGGTTCATAGTTTCTTCACATTTCGGTCTTCTGAGCTTTGCTCTCTTTTTCGCAGCTTCAAGATCCGAAGAAGCCGGGATCCATTCACATGTGCGCACTTGCAGAGACCAACTAGCTTCCCAGACCCTTAGCTGCGCTGCAGCTCCAGTTCTTGTTGGTTACCCTGTTTTGTAAGGAAAGGACCCTGAGCGCAGGGTAGTTTTAAGGTTCGGGGTACCAGCCAGCAGAAACGGAAGCTATCTGAATTCAACGACTCTTTCGTCTTGAAACCCTTCGCAACTTGTGGGGCTATGATGCAGCTGGCTAGCGACCTAAATATGAAAAAATACAGCAAAAGGTCTCCCAGGATCCAAGCAATCAAAGCATCTCTCGAAGCTCCAGGTCGGATGTGCAGTTCGTGCTTGTGAGTTTCCAGACACCTTTGGCCAGTGATTGCCAAGCACTCGTGGCCGCAGCGAAGGAGAACAACCTGCAGAACTTGGAGGTCGGCATCACCCATAGGCCCCTAAGCAGTTCCTTTTTGGGATCACCTTATAGGATTCTAAATATAAACCATAAAAAGGGACTACTTAGGGGCCTATGGGCTAGTGGGGCAAGTCTTCTGGATTCGCTCCTTCAACGGGATTCGCCTGAGTTTATTGGTTTTAGAGCCTGATTCGGTTGCAAGGGGCGGGGTTGCATGCATTCATGTATCTGTCTAAAGTCTGCAATTACGTCACTCTGCCTGTGGGGAAGAGATGCAGGTCCTGCTGCAACGACCTCTGGACCCGAATGAGATGGATGCAAACGGGGAGGTCCCCCTGGGCGGAGCAGCTTGCTTTGGGAATCCCGAAGCAGCCCTCCTGCTGCTTGAAGCGAGCGCAGACGTAGAGACGCCCATGAGCGACGGGGCTACGCCACTGGTGATCGCATCACAGATTCTGACCATACTCGAATACATTTGTTGGTACCTACCTGTTTCCCTTAAGGGAGCCATTATGAAATAAACATCTATACCTCTTTCTCCCTCGTTACTTCAAAGCCAAGGAATGGCTATGCGGAGTTCGTGCAGCTGCTGCTGGAGGTGAGGGCTGACCCGAACCGGGCACTTCCGCAACGCGGTGCCTCTGCGCTGCACATAGCCTGCCAGAACGGCCATCTAGAAGTGGCACGCTTGCTGCTGGACGTTGGTGCTGAAGTGAACAAGACCATGCATGATGGAACAGCAGCACTTTTCCTGGCCTCTCAGCAAGGCTATCTGGAGATCGTGAAGATGCTGCTACAGCAGGCTGCCGATGCCAACATGGTGAACGAAAGCATGGGGTCCAGTCTCGTGGTGGCTTGCGAAGACGGGCATCTCGACGTAGCCCGAACATTACTTGAAGCAAGAGCTGACCAAAGAGCTACAGATGATGGCACCACGCCTCTCTTTGTTGCAGCCCAGAACGGACATTTGGCCGTGGTCAGTCTCATGCTGGAGCTGGGGGCAAACACTGAGTTTCCCATCGATGATGGGGCGACACCTCTTCTTGTCGCATCTTGGAACGGCCATGCGGAGGTTGTTCGGGTGCTGCTGGATGCACGCGCTGACATGCATGTGAAGCAGGACACTGGCGCCACTCCTCTACATGCTGCCTGCACGAACTGTCATGGACCGGTCATAAAGCTGTTGTTGGAGGCCAGAGCGGATGTGCACGGATACTTGGCTACTGCAAGAGGCTCGGGGATTTGGTGATTCAGGTTCTCGTTCAACTGCTTAAAGCAACTTCGTGACGTGTGATGAGCACGCGATCGTCCTGGAGCAAAAGACGGCGCATGACTTGCCCCCTAAACCCTAAACCCTCCAACCCTAAACCCGAA